CACTCTTTCGTTGTTTCGTAACGGTAATCGACGCATACAATCTGATCAATCCCGACATCCTCTTCAGGAATTTGTCTTGCTTTTCGACGGTGCCATCTTCAGAATATTTGCAGCCAAGAGATTTGTAATAATCCTCATTGGACTGACCCTCTTGTTGCTGTAGAAAAACTGGTATGGTGAACGGACACGCCTCGTGAAGATGCGCCAGAAATAGTTCGCCAAAGTCTGGATGCTCGTTCCAAAGAGCCACAACAATCATTGCTACAGGGAATGCCATTTCTGGTTTGCTAGACACCAAAGTCTCGCCTTGGCTCTAAGAATTCAGAATATTGATTGCAAATTTATTTAAAAATAACAAAATATATTTAATTTAATAGTAAAACAATTTGCTTGTAAATTAGATTAACTTTTACATAATTTAATTTTTATTCACTAAATTTTTTGTTTCTAAATTAAAAAAAAACAGAGATCGATCATGATCAATTCATAAATATATTCTCCTGTAGTTATAAATTTTAAAAAGATACATACGACTATCTTTTTCGCCAGATGGTTTTTACAGAAAATTACTCCTTGTGGATGATGTGTCACATTAGATAACAACTTTCCAGTCAAAAGATTTTGCAGCCTGTCATATTTGTCTCTCAAGTGTTGCTCGCTTACACCAGAAATCGCGTTTACAGGGATATTAATCGCCTTTTGACACTCGAATCGAAATTTTTTTGTTGCAGGCGATTGTAAAAAGTCTTTGCAAGTTTCTCTGTAATGCTTCAAGAATTGATGGCTTCTGATGTAAATCTGGAACGATTCTTGGTCGACATACTCAAAGGGATCATCTACAAATTTATAATAAATCAATTAACTAATCTGTTTAATTAGAAATCTAAATTTAAAAAGTTAAATTATATTAGAAAGTTAAATTATATTAGATTTAATTGATCGTCAAAATATGAATATAAAGTAGATATAAAACGGAATAAAATTGCAAATATATATACATTATTAATTTAAATACTTCAAATACATCTTATATGCTTTTAGAGATCTTAATCACCTTTTTTACATGCAGGATTTTTAGTCGTTTCTTCTAACTGAGGATCAGATACAGACGGTGCGACTACTTCGTTAACTGATGTAACTACTTCTTGATTTGTTATCACATTGGAAATATCGTCTTCCTTGTTTTCCACAACATTGCTCTCATCTGGTTGTTGATAAGGCATTGCATTAATAACTGGAACATTGTCTGTCTCTTCAACTGGCTGTATCAAACTTGCAGCTTGCGCTTTTCGAGCCAATTCCGCTTCATATTGAACGTTTATTTTTTCTATAATGTGTAACAAAGTATATTTAACACAAGTTTGAGATAAAAAAAATATAATTGTCTGTAAAAAAAATTCACAAACCTGTTTCTGTACGAAATACATTTAATATATCACTGAAGTGGCAAACCAAATCCTCAATAAGATTTTCATCTGCAGCTACCAATTCTCCATTCTATAAAGCAGACAAAAATATCTGTTATTTATCAATTATTAAACAAGTATTATATAATACCTGTAGAATGTTCTGGAAAAAAACCTCTAAAAAAATTCATGATTATCTCTTTTTTTATTAATAAATACAATTCAGCATCTAAGAAAATTATTTAATTTTACGTTATCTTGCAAATAGTTTTTCTTTTCTTTTCGATAATTACTCTGATTTTCTCGTCTATAGCTTCAATTTGTTGGAACACATCTCTTATCGTCGCATTATGTGCGGTAAACAGCGCACTGAACGCTTGCTGGTCTTTGCAGGTCTTGGATAATGCCACGAGGTCACAGTACTTGGCCGTGAACTGGTCCCGATGGACTGATACAGTCTTTATCAGTTCTTTTTCTTTCATTCTTCTTCGATATTCCTCCATCTCTCGTTCAAGCTTTTCTTTTTGCTCTTGAGCGCGTTGTGCTTGCAATTGTTGCTCATGTCGCCTCTTGATCTCTTCCTGCTCCGCCAACCGTTCCTCTTCAGCTAAGAAGTACGCCAACTTTTCTTCACTCCGGCGTTCGCGTTCACGTGCCATCGATGAGCGCGAATTTGCCATTTGTTCCTGAATGACACGAGCATTCTCGTTCATATTCTGAATGCGACGATCTATTACTTTCTGTAATACAAATGAAGAAATAACGATAGAAGACAGTACCAATCAATGTAAGTATGATATTACGTTTTTAATATCATCTTCAAGAATTTCATTAGTTATACATTGATCTCAAATTACTCGTCTATTCAAAGTCTATTATATCAATTGTTTATACACTTTGTTAATAACTAATCAAAATTATATTTATTTACTATTCATAGACTCATAGAATTTTTTCATACTATTTAATTAATAATAAAATTATATAAAAAATACAAATTCATAGGACATGGGGACGCTTGCTTTTCTTAAATTTTGGCAAAGAGAAACAATTAGAAATTTTTTAATTATGAAAATCATTTTAGTGGAAAATTAAACGTTTATTGGCTAATGCATGACTCATGTGTTATTCGTAAGAAAGTTTGCTGAAGATCCTCAAAGACTTTATACAAGTATTTTAATAAGTTTATGTGAAGATATGAATTTTTGCATCCCCTTGACTGAAATAAGTACGTCTATGTATAAATTTAATTAAAAACAATATTGAGATGTATATTTAGTCGATATATGTATTACATGTATAACGTTATAACAATCAAGATACCCGGACTTCTTCTTTTCTTTGCAGCTCACTCTCTGCATCAATCTTATTGACTGAGAAATGAATGCCGTTTGAAGTGGCCACCATGTTGTGTTTGGGACTGGTAACAGCCCTCTGTGGACTTTTAATGTTACAGGAATTTTGCTCATTCTCAATGTTGTCTGCTTTGTTAGAATCTTCTTCATACAGCGTCGATTGAGGCCCGATCGTGATACGATCCACTTTCGTAGTTGCTGATATACGCGACGCCTTTTCTAATACAGATACCTTGAGACGAGTAAAGTCTGATGTGATGTCCAGCTCGTTTACCTGTAAAACAGTTACATAATTGAATTTAAAGCCGCTCGAGATACAAAGCCAAGATTTTTTACCTTTTATTGGAGAGTTAAATAAAATTTTAGGTCTGTTCTTTTCTGTACTTCAGGACTGAACTTTTTGTACAGTTTACCTTTTGTCTTTTTTTCTCCAATGTGAAAAGAAAAAGGATGAACTGTGCAAGAAGTTCAGTCCTGAAAAAAGAACAGACCTATAGACTTGTTCTTAGACAATACTTTGAAGTAGAGCATCAAAAATATGTATGTACAAACACAGAGAGAGACTTTGTATGTGTTATTATTTGTAGTTCATCGTAAGGAGAACTTAAACAATGCTCGTTCAGCAATATAACGGTATAAAAATGTTAAAACTGCAATAAACAAAGATCTCCAAAAAATTTATCCCAATTTCCACACATATATACAATATACAATCTTTCTCTTATTACTCCAGTAATATATACGCCGATTACGTCACCTTTGTCTCTCAACTTACCCTGTTGGTTTCCACCTTTTTCTTCTCCGAATGAAACGACATGATTTTATTTCGCAGGATTAAAGGTGCGGAACTGCAAACTATCTCGTGAATCTAACCTGATTTAGATCGGAACGCGCGAATTTACATTCACTCGTTATCGACATAGACGGGATAAACCACACGCTGAGATCATCGTTCTCTCATCGCGTTACTCGATCACGTTGATTGTGCACGTCATTTCATTACCGGCATCCCGATCCTCGACAATAATCCGTTCGTTCACACAATTATGTGCCGAGACAGCGGCGAAATAACATCTGACAATCCTCAAGACCGCAACACAGATCAGCGAGCTAAAGGGAGATTCACACCGGAAAAATCGAATTAATCTATTAAGAGCAAAGAAGAATAACATATAACGAAAAGGAATTTACAATAATTACAATTTATAAAATTGCGATGCTAGCAGTTTTAATTACTTATTGCCCTACTACTTTATTTATTTTTGTAATTTTTTCATGTCGGTAATTCGAAAAAAGATAGTTATTTAATGATAATAAAGTAGGTCGTAATCTTACTGACTGTTGTTAATTATCTGCTTTAATTAATCTAAAAATTCGATTAATTGTTAAATCAAAATCTTGGCCTAAATTTTAATAATGGCTGTGTTCAACAGAACACAACAATTTTGCAATCATTTTATGATTATCTGCTGAAATTGAATCATTCTTCTAGATCTAGAAGCTTCTGTAAACGCGTTTACACCGTGCATTTAGGCCGCGGCCTATATAATAGATGTCCTTGTTTATCCTGTAGGTTAACAAAGACACCTATCGTATAGGTCGCGGATTAAGCGCACGGTGTGAACGTAGTCATTAAACAAGGATAAATGATGCACTATGCACATCATGCAAGAAACGGAACGCACCCCTAGTGTACACTTTTGGAACTTAAAGTGAGATAGATATATATTCGATATTTGTTGAAAGAACAAGAAAGAGAGTTCTAGTGCAATCTAGTGCAGTGCAAAAACAGAAAACAGATCGAATGGTGGTTGGGAAATCTCACGAATGTATATGTATACGTGTAAACGTCAAAAGAGTCAAAAGTATGTGATCTAAGAGTATAAAAATGACAACACACGTCCGCGAAGTGAATCTCTTGCGAATTATCGTTGCCTTGTTCCTGTGTACACTTCGTGTGCAGATTTGTGCGACAATCGAGGCCGAGATCGATCTCGACGTGGAAGGAAACGGATTTCATAGGTTAGAAATTGTAGTTTGTTGTGTAAACAAGCGAGCAGTCCACGTGCAGTTTTTAACACTTCTCTCCCTTTTGCAGAACGTTGATTTATCGGATACACTTCAAGAATCTTACCCAGGATAGCTGTCAAACTGCCATTTACATGGAATTACCATCGGCATTGTATGTCAATACAGACGAAATAGCGGAAATGAGAAGAAGAGGAACGGTATGTCTTAATTGTCAATTAATTAATGTAACTTGGAAAAAATATTGTAATCACGAATCTTAAAATCTTAAAATTGATCATTTTATTTTTAAGTTTTATAAATTTAAAATTATTACATAATTTACTTTGTAAAATGGTCGAATTTTGATTACATTAATATAAGATTAGAGATATTTTTTTTAACATTATCTTTTAATTACTACAAATCTCGAAGCTATTATGTTATTCATATTGATTCAATATTCTGTAATTCATACATCTTAAATTTATGTAATTTATATAGAGAGTAATAACTTAACTATATATTTATCTAAAAAATCTATTATATTAATATCATACATATATATATTAGATACAGCTATATTCTATTTCATTATATACGTAATATGGATATAGATATAATTTCATCATCTAATTGATCAACAATATTAATATTGTAGAATACAGTATGCTCCGTTGGCGAAACCGATATCGAGTTATTCACAGAGAAGGCTGGTCAGCAGAACGTGACAACTTGCGCATCCATAAGTTCGTCATCCTCCAGTTTAATAATTCCCATTCACCAACGTTATCGATATGCACACGAAACTGACGGTTATGTTAATGTGACTTTGCCTGAAGTGAAGTTGTTATTAGGATGTCGGAAGAGGATCAGAGACCACAGGGTATCTAAAATTGACTTATGCGAACCGTGTGTCGGACTAATGGCCAAGTGGCGTGAGATTCCGTATCGTATGTCGAACAATCGCGACTACGTTTGGCAGATACCAATCGGTGACTCTTCTCTCTCGCTCTTTGTTACTTGTGCCACGTTAGTGACAACGATTATCGGCGCGATATTTATCGGGCACGCCATTCGGACCAATGCATTGCAAAGTCACCTGAAAGAAGACTGAGGTAATGAAGATGTAAATATATAAGCAATTTTGTATGATTATCAAGTTTTTATCAATGAATGTTTTAGATAGATTTGATATATTGACTCTCTCTTCTTATACAAGACATATTACACAGATACCCATCTTTCTATTTACATAATTTACTAAACGTTTTTACATTACATGAAATGCATTAATAATTTATTTAAAATTTTATCTAAATTAAATTAAATTCTAAGCTTTTTAATAAAAGTTGCAGCAATTCTGTGATCGCAGAATTCAGAATAGAAATTAATTAGACAATTAATTTCTTTGCTTACATATTCTTGAGGGTAAATTAAAAAGAAATTGTTCTGGCAGGTCTTATGTATGCATTCGGCTTGAATTGTGTGTGTGTGTGTGTGTGTGTGTGTGTGTGTGTGTGTGTGTATGTGTTTTCGATATTTATATGCAACTTCCAGTCAAGGCGTTTTGATATATATTTTATACACGCTTTTTTGAGATAATGTTAATATTCTAAGTCATTCAGAAGTTACTACAAAAAATCACACATCCACACAGATAAATGCATAATCTGAAAAATAAAATATAAAAAATAGGAAATAAAGTATTGTTGCATAATACTACGTTTCTCTATTTTTTGTCATGGATTGTCATGGAATTCTCTCGTCCTCCTTTTCCTGTATTGTCGCGATAGTCACCGGCGCTGTCGATACTTTTCGCACGACGCTATCTTTCTTGCTTTCAATTGGATCATTCCACTTTTGCACGTCGCTGGTACCGAATAGGATGAAGACTAGATTGCCAACCGTATATATTCCGGCCGACAGAAAGAACACGCTTCGCCATTGCAATATGTTGGTCTAAACAGAAGAAAGCGATGATAACGTTAAATGTATGACACTATCAAATTTATAACAGCTAGCAATGCAAATAATTGTCTTATAATGTCACAAACCGAATCCTTAATGATCACTCCGGCGATCAGCGGTGCGAGGATGCCGCAGGCAGACGCAATGGTATTTGTAAATCCCATAAGCGGGCCAGCGAAGTTCGGACTGAGGTCCATGTGATTAATATTATGGCCGCAGAAGGCAGCGGCGTTGCAGGACACGGCGATAACGAGGATACTCACGGCCAATTCCGGCTGGTCCTGCCTCACGTAACCCAGCCCGACCAGCGCGGCTGCCGGTACCCAATGACCAATTGTATTGCAAATCTTCCGGGACATCTTCGTTGTCACGATTCTTTTCCTGATACACAGATCGGATATGTAACTGATCAAAAAGCTGATGAGCCAAGCCGACAAGTAGGGCAACGCTGTCATCATACCATTCTGTACAATCAAAAATGCATAGTATTAGTTAATGCTATTTTAATAAACATTTAATGAAATATTATAAAATGTTTCTTACTCAAATTGTTTGATCTACTTATTACAATATATACTTGACATCTTATTTATGTCGAATAGTTCACATTAATAAGAATCAAGAATTTAATTTTTTAATGTCAATAGAATATTTTTAACGTCGTAACGAGAAAGTGTTACATTAAGTTTATATATTTAAAAATATATTTGTTAAAATTTATCTAAAACATGTAATATACAAAAAGCTAAGTGATAAGACATATCTTGATATTTAATTAATTCTTTTTCAGCCGTCATTGACTCGTTCATTGACGATACGACATCGGAATAGTTTAATGTTCATGTCCATGATGCTTGAATTGATTAAGTCTCACGTAGCATAATCATTCTTCCATTGTGATCTCGTCGACATACGCATCGAATTATTAATTGATATTCCAAACGCTACGATTTTCAAAGTCGAAATATGCGTGCGCCTCTATCCGAATGCTAATTCCAAGGTTTTCGAAATATTGCAAAAGGATAATTCGATAAGAAAGAGAAGACAAAGAATGAAATTCGGAGTTATTTACTATATAACTATAAAAACCTTCTTGATGTCAAAACGCATAATCGAACTCATGTAGGATGGGATTTCCGTCAGCAGCATCCAGAAGCCCCAGGACTGCCCGCATTGCGCCATCAGTAATGCCCAGACCGACAAGCTCCCTAGTATAGATTTCCACGGAGTGGAGGGTTTCTGTCACGGAGAAAAAACGTGTAGAAAATACGAATACATTTTTTTTTCTAAATTTTAATTTAACGAACTTGCAACTGAGACTCCTCAGTTAAATCTAAAATTATTTATTTATTTAATTATATATCTATGAATAGAGGAGAGTGGTCTAAATCGGACCGTGTTCTAAATAGGACCTTTTTAATTTAAATGAATACGGTTAAGCAGATTTGCGTACTATTTATAACGTGAAGTCCTTATAAGACACCGAACATGTGATAGCAGTTTGACAGTTCTCTGTCATAACATTCATAGAATAGAGGCAAATATGTTTTTTCAGCCATCATGCGAAAATTTTTTTAAAAAAGAAAATCCTTGTAAATCATTATTTAAAAGGTGTTAAAAATTTGAAAAGTAATTGATTTAAGATAATTAAAGAGTGCAGAATTAAAAAATATCAAGCATTTCGTGATCACTTTTGCGGTTAATTGTAAAATTTGTTCCAAAGTTCGAAAAGACCCGTGTCCAAATCGGACAGTACAGTGAATAACTTATAGGCCTGGTTGTAGTATTGGTGATCGGCTGACTAGATCTGGTCCAAGCAATTAAATTAGTAAAATATCATGACTCATCAGACTCAGATTAATTGAGTTTTATTGATTTCAAATCTAATAATATAAACAGTCAGTATGTTCTTTTTCCGAAAAAAATGTTTATCTTTGACTGTCAAATTTTACTCGTTTTTACTCAATATTAAGAAAAATAAATTTAAATATTTTAAAATTCTATCTAAAAATTCATAAAAATAAGAGTTTTCGATATGAACCAGAGGACAAAAACTGCAAATAGGTCCGATTTAGACCACTCTCCCCTATATATAATATTAAATTTCAAATTAATTTTAATTTTTGGATCTGTATTCGAAGTGATTATTTAATTGATGTGATTTTCTGTTCTTTTTTTTCTTCTCTCAGTGCAATATGTTGAAGGAATTACCTCGTTGATCTCAGTTACTCCCAGACTCATCTCAATGTATTTTTTTTCGTCGAGAGATATTTTGGGATGTTCGGAGGGTGAATCCTGCCCGAACAGATAGAAACATATGCCGCTGAGGACGCCAAGGCTTCCCCAAACGTAAAAGCAGCTAGGCCAGCCGATGGACGATGCCGCGAGAAAGCCGGTACTTAACAAGCATACCACGTTGCCAATCCAGCCGCCGGAATAAACGAACGTTGCTAGAGATACGTGAAATGTATTACAACCACGATTCTTCTGTGTCAAAATTCAACATAATTATCATTAAGCTAATTAATGAAAAAATGTTTTTTTTTCATCTTTGATAATTTTTATATTTATGATAATATTTATTCTAATTAAATAAAACCGTTCGAAAGACAGAAGATTTCATTGTTTTAGTGATGAAAACGAAATCAAAAGAGACACTTGGATAATCGAAATTGTAGGAATTCTTTTTATTATGAGATATTAATCTTAAATACTTTTTTGGCGCGTGCCTTATCAATTTGGCATCATCAGACTACGATAAGAATTTTTCCTATCTCTTATATATATCAAACTTGACGTGCCTGCTAATTAATTTGCATTTCTGTGATGCATTATCAAGCAAAAGTGAATATGTATAGCTAACTGCATGCGAACTTGAAATTCAAAAAAAAGAACATAAATCAGGTTGAAATTGAAATCGGAATAAGAAATTAAAATTTGCGACAAAGTAAAATAAAACAGAAAAATTACTGACTTTATGATGCATTTAAGCAACTCGAAATATGTTAAAATTATTTTAAAATCAGTGTAGCATTATGTGACAAACTGATCCTAAAATTCAAGCAAATATCTTCAAATTCACTTCGACAAACGAATGATAAATTGCTACAAAATCTTATATATACCCATTTTATTTTAATAAATATGAGAATTATCACTCATTCTCACTAGTCAAATGTTGAAAACTTTTCTCTTAACTCATTTAGAATATTTTCACTCAAATAAGAGTAAAAGTATTTATTCCACATGTTCAATTAAAGGCATATACACTTACAAAGTCTACCACGCTCTTCAGGTGGCGACCATCTAGACAACAAGGTGTGCAGACACGGTAGAACGGCACCCTGGACGAGTCCGCATATTATCCTACAGGCGATCACCATCTGCCAGCCGCCGTAATGAGCGGCCATAGGAGTGGCGAGAGTCAACAATCCGGAGATGACTAGGGTCACCGAAAACAAACCCTGAGCAGTCCATCGCTGAGTGAGAATGCTGGCAGGTATTTGCGTGATGGTATAGCCCCAGAAGAAAGAGCTGAGGATTATGTGCTTCACCGATTCCTCCCAATGGAATTCCTTCGGAAGAGAGAAGAATCTCCCTTTTAGATCACGAGGATAGGAAAGAGAATCAGTGTTATTGACACATACCTCGAAATTAGGATTGGCACTGGCTGCATTGGTCATCGCCTCCAAGGTCACTGATGTCGTTACTCGGATAGCATAACAACAGAAGAATCCTAGGCCCATGAGTCCCACCTGACCATGTCTATATCCGAACCATGCTGCAAGGAGGAATTATATCCTTCAAGGTATGCATGTATTAAATTGATCGAATAATGAAAAAATTAATTTATCTCGGTATAGTGTCCCAAAATTCGCGAATCAAAACATAGCAAGAAAATTAAAGTTTTTTTGAAAAGTTAGTAAGTAAAAAATTCTTTGAAAATTTGTATTTTAACCAATTTTTTTTTAGATATAATCGTTTAAACATAGCCAATTATAGACTACGTTTAGATGATTACTTGCGAAATGACGCAACAATGTTCATTAACACGTGCTGCGCATGACTCATGGATATTTAAACAACAAGTGGTTGCTTAATCGTAGTTTGTAATTAGCCATATTCAAACCTTCATATTTAAAAAAATTATTGTTTAAAATAAGGATTTACAAATAATTTTTTTTACTTAATTTTTCCGAGGACTCTCTTGCTGTGATATTTTGATTTGCAAATTTCGGGACGCTGCAAAAGAAAAAATTACATAATCGTTTGTTTTATGATATGGCTGCATTGTGTGGAAACAAATGTCACAATTTTAAGTTCTGTGAAAAAATAGAAAAATGATACATTTTTTAATCATCTCATTTATGTTTTTTATTCTTACAATTAGTAGTACGTTCCTTATGCCCTCAACGAAGTTTACATGGGCGTCACGTATAAACGTGGAATTGAATACAAATTGTGTCATTGTCATCAAGATCGCATTGCGTCAGTAAAACCGATCGCTCAAAGTTTACGCTTGAAATCCAACAACAATTACCCGTTGCGTCAGAGAAATCACCGGTATGCGAGTGCAATCGATAAAATCTTAGTAACCGTGTTTGAATTTTTCTTCATTCCGAAGAAGCAAACCGTTCGACCGAAGAATGCATAGAATGCAGATTAATTCTAATCGATAATTGTTATATAAAATACAACTTTTACTCGCAAAATGTGTTTTCCCCAGATTGTCCTGAGTCAATCATGTGGATCAGGAAAAACTGATGGATTAAGAGAAAGAAATAATAATATATTACCAAAAAAATTGAAATTACGATATAATATAGCGAGAGAAAGAGAAAGAAAGCAAAATAAATGTTTTATTGCAGTGTAAATTAGAAAAAATATTATTAAAGAAATAATGTATTAATTATGGTATTGTTAATATTGATTATATTATTTTAACTTAAATATATATTTTTTTTCTTATTCTTACTAATTATTAGAACTACATCGACGATATCTTTTAACACTTATTCCAGAATAACAGAAATCTGAAGTATCAATAAGACATAAAATGTTCGTGCTCTAGTTATCGCGAAGCGAATAATAAATACGTAACAAACATGACTATTTTTTTATATACTGACTTACAATAACTTGATAAGGCAGGTGCGTCAATATTGATTCGAGGTTCGCATCATGTTTTAACATAATTCGTAGCAATTGTAATCTCTGTTCTTATTTATAATTCATTTATCGAATATAATAATCGATAATAATTCTCTCTCTCTCTCTCTCTCTCTCCTCTTCTCTCTCTCTCTCTCTCTCGTATAAATTTGTATATTGTTTCTATTGTACATTTCTTTTTCATTTATTATACTTACTTTTATGTTATTAAAGGGCTTGCCCTAAAACAGAAAAATAAACGCTTTCTGTCTCTCTCTTATTCTCACTAAGCGTTACACATATATTGTTATCAAAAATGTTTAATTGAAGATAAGTTACTATTTACAGCATATTTATGAAAGCATCTTGATATAAATATTGTCAAATATTAGTTAATAATATGTCCATAACAAAAAAGATAAAAATTTTTTAGTTTTATGCATTTGTATATTATTTGCATTATTTTTACTCACACATTAATTTTATCTTCACATTTTATACAATTATTTAGAAAATATAAGAAAGTTTCCTTTTTCACTCGGTGATTAGTGTGAATATGAAGGATGCAAAAGAGGAATCCGAAACTGTGCTAAAGAGAATCGAATTTGTACATCTGTCGAATGTCAAGTAAAATTTGTAAAGGATTTAAGAATAGAAACGTTGCAATATATAACAACACATAATAAATAAAAAGAAAAAGAATATAAAATGAAAAAGGAAGGAGTATTTTTTTAAAGAAGGAGAAAAATTTTCTCTCTCTATTTAGAAAATGATTTGTTATTATATAGTAGAACTCTGTTTATCTGCACTTCATTTATATGTGTGAGTTCGTCCTTCCCAAGATATTTAAAATTCCTAAAGATATTTAAACATATATATAGAGAAATTGTAACCAAAAAGACTAATCAAATTTTGTAAGAATATTTAAAATTATTAATATACATTTTATCGTTTAAATTGACTCATAATACATTTGACGTCGAAATCATCGAATCGACGTCAAATCGACGTCGATTCGACATCGATTCCATTGTCATTTCTCACTGGGAAGTCCCTACTATATGGATGGGAGTTGCCATAAATTGTCTCTTCGCTGTTAAGCCAAATGACTAACTTCCGTCCCCATAGATCACAATCGATTATTCCAAGCGTAACATGTCAATTTATAAAAAGAAGAATACAAAAAAATCATCAAAAAAGAATCAGCTCATCCTCGGTCTCACGTAAAATATTTTTTCCAACATATGCGGACTATATTTTGTCAAGACATCGACGAAAATTTTTTACAACTTGCTGAAGGTGGTTTGAAGATAAACCGAAACGTTCAAGAAATTTGTATCGGCACTCACGATAGAGAGATAAATATATTATGTGAATATCACTCGAATTTTTTTATTATATAATTTGCGCACCAATTTCCGCGCTATATTAATGCTTTAATTGTCAGCATATTTTATTTATTGTATTTATAGTAATTTGTACACACTATTCATAATATTATTTATATTATTATTTAATTGATCACCTGACGGTTTGTTCGGTGGAACTTTCATCCTCTCCGAGAGAGATACTATGGAGACCCTCTTCCTCCGTAAAGACGCCATGATGGTGAATTTCTAATGAAACTGACACTGAAGCAAATTACAGAAACGACTGCGATTCAGCGGTCGTATCCACATAGCTTTATACTATCACCGAAAACTTCTCTCCCACCCTTTTACTCAAACATATGAAACGATGGCACGTCTTGCTGTCGTATTAACAATCGGACAATATACTTCAACATTGAAATCACTACACAGCAGAATATAATTAATCTCCTTTAATTATACACTTAATTATTCTCAATCTGCTTTTTCTCTCATTTGTATTATTATTATATATGTATAATAATAGGATAACCCATTATACTTGCTTTAAATTATAAATTTATATATTTATAATATATTTTGACGATCACGCGTTATAACGTGCAAAATGCAACATAATATTTTAATGAAAGGAAAGTGGACAACTGTCCTCTTATTAACTATTCAGAGCAAGTCATGCGAGGTAAAGGCGTATTTATTAAAAGAGACGGTTGAAAATTAATTATTTCAGATTGAGAGGGATCTTCATTTGAATGGAATTTAGTTAATATTGATCAATATCTCGATCCACATTCTTTCTTTCTTTCTAAAAATCTTCACTGATGTGTCTTACAACGCGTCGCATTATTGTTCACAGTTTTCTATTAAATACACGAATTTATAACTGAGCTGTTATCCAAACTACCGCACCGTTCGAATAGTAAGCAATTGATGCGACTCAACTTCAATTTTTTCTGACGTATTAGGAGCGATAACAGTTCTTATTATCAGAGTTATTATCCTTGCTATAACTATTTGAAAAGTATTTTGTCTATAATTTAAAAAAAAAAGCTACTTTTTTCAAATTACTGGAAAAAACCAGAAAAATTTCCGTTTTTTTTTTTCGAAAAATTGGTTTTTTGGAAAAATTGCTGTTTTTGCTATATAAAAGACATAATAAGTAACTTCTAAATTCCTTTATAAAATTAATGCGATCTATGAAATTATGTAGCATTATTTTTATAAAAATTTTTTAATTATCCTTTTATTTTTATAGTAAAACCTAATCTAACCTTCCTTTAGTATATTACATGGCAAAGCTTAAGTATAGATAGACTCTTTTTAACTCTAGTTTGCCACACTCCGGACACTAATGAACAATTCCTGAAGTGTCTGTTTGTGTGTAGTTTATTTTTTTCAAATATTTTGTTACGAATTCAGTTTAAATCCAAATTATTTTCTAAATCTACTATTATCATATAAACATGATGTTTGGACTCTATATGTGAATTTTTCCAAAATTAATTTTTCTACCCTTGAGAAAAAAACCGAAAAAATCCGCGGAAAAATTGGAAAAATTTTTTCCGATCCTTTAAAACTATAATTCTGCCTTATAACATATTTTGATAAACGGAGTTTTACTGTATATAAACTCTGCGGAATATATATACATATATATTATACATATATATATTGTATATATTTTAAAAAGAAATCGAAGAAGTATGAATTGTGGAAATTGAGGCGAATTACTGTTACCAATCATCTGTTATCAATGATTTTATTATTGATTATATAATAATTATATATATCGATGTTTTGCAATTAGAAAAAATATTAACGCGCACAATATATGAATGATTTCATAAATGATTATCAAATAAACGTGTTTCGTTGAAAGAATTCAAAACTCGATAAAAGAGAAGAGATTTAATAATTAACAACGACTACGTCTTAATTATTTTTTCACTTATTGTGATATTTCATGAGTACGGATCGATCGCGTATCGATAAATAATCGTGATCTTGTTATGTCCTATAAAGATAACATATTTAACGCGAATGATTTGAGCATCACACTGGCTGGTATTTGCACCAGATAAAGATTCGTTCTCGAGGCGAAAACTGCATTCACTATCGTATTTATCCAACAATACACATCAGGAAAATATAATTGTCAAAAGATATAGAAAAAATAGGGATTTTATAATGTCAAAACAGAAAAATTAATCTTTTTTTGTGTCTATTATGTTCTGCATGTGCATCGTTTCGATTATTGTACTGGAACAAAAGTTCGTAGCGGTACTTCATTTGTATCATGTTTACATATTTTTTAAATATTGACAATTATACCATTCAACAGACTAAAGTTTCAGTTTTAAGAATCTTTTTTTAAATTGCGGTACAATGATTTTTAACGTCGTTATGAGCAATTAAAATATAAAAAAATGCTCCTTTCATTTATTAATTCAGATAACAAAAAATCTTACCAACACATTAAAAAAAAAAAATTTTGTAGGGAATATTTTAAACTTTTACATTAGAAAGTCGAAAATTTATGCAATGTTTTTTTGTTTAGTCATGTGATGGGCCCAAAGTGACAAGACATTTTCCCAATTCGTCTAGCTCATACTTTTCTATATGTAAAAATTACTAACTTCATAGAAACCCAAATTTAAGCTTTAAAACCGGTTATTTAAATTTAAATTTCGTTCATTTTTAACGAAGTTACAGTAGCTTGAATTTTAAAGTTTGTATCGCTATGAACTTTTATTCCGACCCAATACATTCATTTATAATACTAACTACAGATCAAAATCTGTGTCTTTACTAATATCTAACAAATATTACAATGATTATAACAACTATTTTTACAAGTTATCAACACAACATATGGCTTACGTTAAATTTTTAGTCACTTTGTTTATCTCAATAAATATTTGCAATTACATTTTTACATGTATTGAAATTTTATGATATATTTTTTCACGATAAATTTCCAAGCATTTATTTTGAAATAATTTTTTCATAATTAATTTTGGACATTTTAAAATAAATAATTAGTTTTTATAATAATTTTGAAACTTTTTATTCTTTTGATAAAAAAGGTTAGATTAAAATAAAAAATAATAGAAAAAATATATAATAGAATAAATAATTTATTTTATTTTGAAAAATTCTTTTTACAGGACTTGACTTTTTTTTATAACTTTTTAGAGTGTTTGAGGTGATCTTATAGAATATTTTAAATAAAAACTAAAAATTCATTTTTACGAAGAACGTGAGTAAAAATTTATTTTACATGTCTAAATTTTATTATCAGATTAATAATTATAATGATAAGTGAAAAGAATGGGCAGTGAACAGTAACTATGGACATAGAATGGATCTATGTGGATAACACAGAGTTGAAAAATCACATTACACTTCATGACGGAGCAATGATATGTACAGCTGTTCGTTGATGACGACAATAAATAATGACTTTGCAGTTGATCGTAATTTCGATTTTAGGAAGAGTTTTGGAAAGAGTTTAAAATTAAATTTACTATAAATCAACTCCAGTCCTAACTTCAGGCTTACAAACTGGTTTTAAATCACACACTATAGTCCTATGGCAAGTTACAAAATTTGAAGAACGTATCAAAAAAATTAACTTGATTAAATCTCAAGTCCGCGTTTCATTCTCTTCGTCTCTTCTTTCTTTTTTTGGCCGTTGTACCTCTGAGTCGTTCCACCATTGCACTTCGCCCTTACCAAATATCACAAATACTAAGTTACCCAGGAAGTAAATTGCTGCTGAGACGTAGAACACGATGTTCCACTGAAACGCGCTGCTCTGAAAAGCGAGAAAGCTCTCGATAAAAACTCATCATTCTTAAAGCAATTAAGTTCGTTAAGGATGAAAAAGTACGTTTAAATAGACATAGATAAATTATATGAGATCAATTAATTAAAGAGAGAATTCTGAATTAAAGAGAGAAATAAATAAACTAGATTGCTATTTACAGATATTTTACAAGCAGGAAAAAGAAAATGAACGATTACCTCGTCAGACACAATCACACCACTTATCAACGGCGCAATAATGGAGATAACAGTGGCACAACAATTGGTGACAGACATCATGGTCCCGGCGAAATTTGGGCTAAGATCAATATGATTGATTTGGAAGCCGCATAAAGATCCAGCGTTTAGACCTACTGCTATGACGAGGATGACAATGGCCCAGGTATAATTATCAGTGGGTGCGACGCTCATACATGCCAAGGCTATAGCTGGACCCCAATGGGCCACTGTGTTGGAGGCCTTTCTGACTACAGCCCTAGACACATTCTTCTCCAACGCGTAATCACATAACCAGCTCATAGGGAAGCTCAGAATCCACATTGCCAAGTATGGCAGAGCGGAATATATACCGCCCTATTAAAGGAAAAGTATACTTTAATTAATTAATTTAGTTAAAGTATTATATGTAATTGTGATTAAAAAAGAAACAGTTTCGAATAAATTATAGCTTCAGAACATTCAATTATAGCTATTAAAATGATGCAGTTGATAAATAAATTTTGAAAAATTCGTGAAACCAACATAGGAAAAAAATATTTCTTATCCTTTTTTTTTATTTTGCTATTTTATTGCTTACCGCCTGAACTTTGAAATTCAACACGCCTGTCATGTAACTTGGTATTTCTGTCAATAGAGTCCAATACCCCCAGTTTTGTCCGCAGTGAACTATTATGAGAGCCCACATAGGCACCGAAGTGAACATCGCCTTCCACGGTGTTTTCATCCTCTAAAAGGTACAAAATCATCCTAAATGTAAATATATTATATTACTTTTATCGCATGTATGATCTTAATGAATTATTAAATAAATTTAAAAAATATTGTCCATTAGTAGTTGAACATAATTAAAAAATATATGTGTGTTTAAACTTTAAATTAAAAAAAAATCTTTCTTTATTTTTTACAATACCAAAAATTATCGAGAAGAAAAACAAATATGTATATAGTACAAAATCATTAGTTGATTATTATAATGGATTTTTACCTTGTTGACTTCATCATCGCCTTTCGCTTCAGTTGTTCTCAAATGTTGTTCTATGTACATCCTCTCCTCTTGAGAAATACTGCGATGCTTAGACGGTGTGTCTGCTCCCAAATAATAGTATACTACGCTCCAGATGATCGATAATACACCGAATAGATAAAAGATACTGGGCCAACCAGCACTCGATTCGGCGAGAAATCCAGCAATCGGCATAGCGATTACTGTGCCGAACTGACC